TCAATACAGTGGCTAAATTAACAAAAAAATAAAGCACCAGCAGGCGCATACATTTCCCAACAGCACAGCAGTAATGACTTTATGAACTTCTTTACTTCCAAGATTGATACTATTAGAGATAAAATTATAACCATGCTAGCCATCAGCTACAGTATTGCATCAGACAGTGCACTATATTCCCTGAGGAACAATACCACTCATTCTCTGCTATATGACAGGAAGAATTGTATAAACTTCTTAAATCATCAAAACCAACATGTAAGATCCTATAACAGCTAAGCTACTAAAAGAGGTGTTTCCAGATGTCATTGATCCTCTTCTGAATATCATTAATTCATCATTGTCAAAGTCTGGAGCTGTGATAAACACCTTGTGCACAGCTATGGCATATGACACAGCGCTGCTCACATGACTATTGCTCCTATAACAGCTAATTTTTAACAGTTCGTTTGAGTCGTTATGTTTCTCACAGATTTCTGCTCGTTCTAAATCAGATACAGATAAAGTAGCACAGTAAAGATTACATTCATATGAATGCATTAGTGAGAGCGATTGTGTGTCTGAATGAATTCTACCTGGCAGTGTCTCTCTACTAGTAGTGAAGCTGTGGGATTTAGTTATTCGCGCGGCAAATATGACGTCATCGCGGTGTTGGCGGAAGTTCGCTTTGAGTGCGCGTGAACTAATTTCGCGTGGCGGTGTGCACGGCATTTTTTGTAACATTCCGTGCAGCTCCGCATCCAAAGGTGCACAAGTTCAGGGTGATTCTTGCGGAACATGCACGTCTGTGCCGGCATTTGTGTGAAACAGAAGCAGTTTGATGTGAAGTTCAAACTGCATCAGGTGCTTTTTGACGCTTTGACGGAAAACAATGCATAATTTTTTTGCATAGTTTGTCCAAGGCTTTTTATTTGAAGTATGTTTTATTTGTATTGTATAAAAATATAATTATAATTCATTTAGATACTATTTATACACTATTTGCTTAAGGTTGTCTTGTGTTTGATGCAAAATATAGCCAATAGTAATGATTGTTTTAATCAGTTTGTACATAAAGAAATGATGAATTCATCAACTCATTCATCACGTGAGAAGTCTTGTACCGGCAAATGACTTCTTCTCACCGGTAAATCCCGATGGTTTTAGAGAACAATTACTCCTTGCCGCCCCCTGTCGTTTCAAAGAATAGTACAACGGCGAACGCGACAAGTATAAAAGCCTTGTCCGTTTGGGAAGATGCGCGCGCAGTCAGCGGAGGCTCGCGAAGCGGAGCCAGGCGAAAGTATAAATCCCGCTTTACAGTGCAGCAGCGCATTAGATTAGAACGGCGATTAATTGACCTACATGTACAATAAGCGGTTTAAAATGTGTATTCTCCCGTTCAATTTCGAACATCCAGTAATATAATCTCGCATGTTTTGTGGAGCGCTTTCAGAGCATGCATTTATTTGTCATTTTAACTGGAAACGGAGCGTAAATGTGGACGTCCTTCAAAGATTTCTTATCCTGTTGCGCCCTCTATAGGACCAGCGACTAGTCGACGTCAAGCTTAAAGCGTCATGGCAGAGCATTGAAGTTGACTAGTCGATTAGTCGGTGCAACCCCTAATCATAGTACAGAGAATGCTCAGTGACCTGTTAGAAAGTTACAAATTACCTGCTCTTAACATCCGATCGTGGTTGCATCTCTCTATTAGTGCTACTGGATCTTAGCGTTGCATTCGACACTATCGGTCACAACATTCTTTTGAATATAGAAAATTATGCTGGCATTAGTGGAATTGCATTGGCATGGTTCAAATCATACTTATATAACCGTCATCAATTCGTAGAAGAGAATGAAGAAGTATCATATCATTCACAAGTGCAGTATGGAGTACCACAAGGCTCAGCACTAGGACAGTTGTTTTTCACGCTTTACATGCTACCCTTGGGAGATATCATCAGGAAATATGGTGTTAGCTTTCACTGTTATGCTGATGATACTCAGCTCTATATTTCTTTGTGGCCTGACGAAACATACCAATTCGCAAAACTAACAGAATGCATAGCTGAAAAAAAAGGCTCTGGCTCTGCTGTCAATTCTTCGGCATCTGTTAGGAACCTAGGTGTGCTATTTGATAGCAACCTTTCCTTTGAAATTCATGTTTCTAGCATTTGTAAAACCGTATTTTTGTGTCTTGAATACATCTAAACCTATGCTACACCTGATGCACCTGACCTATGCTCTCAATGTCAAATGAAGAAACGTTAATGACCTCAAAGGTGGCACACACACTCTGTCAGTTTAAATCTAGATTAAAACCCCATCTCTTTAACCTGGCATACACATAACACACAATCTATAATTCAAATCCGTTAAAGGATTGTTAGGCTGCATTAATTAGGTCAAACGGAACCGGGAACACTTCCCATAACACCCGATGTACTTGTTACATCATAAGAAGAATGGCATGTATTAGTCTGTTTTATTCTTATTCCGAGGTCACCGTAGCCATCCAGATCCAGTCCATATCCAGATCAGATGGTCACGGCAGTCACCTGGATCCAGTCCGTATCCAGTCCAGATGGTGGATCAGCACCTAGAGATGACCTCTACAGCCCTCAATGTCAGCGGAGACCATGTCAACTAGAAGAACCCTAGAAACAGATCCCCTGTGAAGACCTCGTCAGCCAGTGGCACAAGACCATGAGAACCAGATGAACCCTCTGCTCAATCTGACGTGTGTTGCAGCCTGGAGTTAAACCACAACATGCTGGTTTTGTCTGGCTAGAGGAGAACTGGCCCACCAACTGAGCCTGTTTTCTCCCAAGGTTTTTTTCTCCATTTCTGTCACCGATGGACTTTTGGTTCCTTGCCAGAGTCACCTTTGACTTGCTTAATTGGGGACACAATTTCTGGCAACATTGTTGACTTGACTGCACAGACACTATTGGAAGAGAACGAGTACCCTTAAAAAGGTGGTATTGTGTCTTAGGTGGACTATTAATGTGAGTTTGTGTTTTGGCAACATTGTTGACTTGACTGCACAGACACTATTGGAAGAGAAAGAGTACCCTTAAAAAGGTGGTATTGTGTCTTAGGTGGACTATTAATGTGAGTTTGTGTTAGTTTAGATGAGTGTAGTGTGAGTTTTGTGGCTCAAAGGCTGCAGCATGCAGGAAAATTAAGGTGTGGAACAGTGTTCAAGGTTTAATGATGTCATTGATCATTCTGGGTGGCGATTGTTTTTTAGTTCGGCCTGTTCCAATGTCTTGAATCTCCTAATCTTTATGTTTGGTGCTGACTTGGCCCATTTTCCCTGCAGAGGTCAGATTCAATGCCAGGACGTGTAAAACAGCAAATATGGCTGGATATACAAGGGATACATAAAGGAGGTTGTTTTATCTGGTGCAATAGGCAATTATCTTGATTCTTAGAACTAAAAGCTGAATGATAAGCTTTTTTTGCCTCAGAAAAACAGCAATGTTCTCGATTTAAAAGATTTGGTAATGGTAGAATCACACTAGGCAGTCAGGGTAATGTACTTTTAAACCAAAGAGGTAGAAAAAAATTGGTAAAAGAGGAAGGAAATTTTTTAAGTGTTTATCTGGTCCTTAAATTTGTTTGGCTGAGCGGTGTTCCAATAGTATAGTGGGGATTTTTAAGTAACTCTTTCTGCAAGTCAAGTCAAATCACCTTTATTTATATAGGTGAATACAATACACCTATATAACGCTTTATACAATACAGATTATGTCAAAGTAGCTTTACAGTGTGCTGTGCTGATAATGCAAGAGGACCATAGAAAATGTATCAGTAAAAGTCAGTTCATTGTTGATTCAGTGATGTTGTCGTCCAGCTCAGTTCAGTTCTTCTACATAGACCAGTTTATTTATTCTTATTCTTATTTCAAAAGACAAGAATTACTGCACTTGACTCAATAATAAAAAAGTTTTTAAAGAGCCACCTCTCTGTCTTTTTCTATCTGCTGGTAAATAAATATAAAAATTAACTGCTAAGACAAACTGTAAATTGTAATGTTACAGCTGTGATTTCCCTAGGTGGCCACTTGGGGTCACACTGTCTAGGTTCTAAGGCCCATAACACCTGCAGAGAACATTAGCATTCACTTTCATATCAATGGCAGTTGCATGGCTAGTACAGAGCTCTCTGGAAGGTTGAAATATGCCATCTTTGCCCACAGGCACTCTTAGTTCCAGACAGAAGTTTTTGAGCCAATAGAGTAAATGCCAATGTGACTACTCTGGAATTTATGAAAAATTATGGCCTGACTAGCTGAAGGCAGCACAAGAACATGCAAGTCCTTTCATTAGTGGCTATCCAAAGCTGTGACTGAAAAGAAGAGTCATGTCACACATTTTAATAGAGATTGTTCACTGGGAAAAAGTCTACTATAATAATCTAATTAAATACATAGGCGGGGCACATAGTAACATGACCATATGACAACTTAATATCCCTTGTTATTATATCCAGTTTAATATTTTATCTGATCCAATTAAAAAGCATGCAAGATAAATTAAAATGTCAATAAAAGCCATTTATAAACCTTTGTCATTTAAAATAATTATGATTTTACATGCATAGTAATTCTGTAGCTCAACAAAGCCACTGCACAGGTCAAAACAATGCACACTAATACATGATTTTATTCATACAAGGAAATTATATAAATTACATTGCATTGAAACGCATCATTTGTGCTAATAGCGGTGCAGTTTTACAACATTTCCACCCCTGTGGAACTGGGATTTAAAGCTGGCTAGTCACTTCTGCTGGCTTGCTGAGCATTAAAAGATGATGCAAGCTGATAACTAACAGAATCAGATTGGAGGCTACAATGATAGCAAGATGCCCTTGTTTTAAATAAACACTAAAACAGAGATGAGAATTAACTTAATGCTATGGCTAAATAAATTCATGACTATTCCAAAAAAAAAAAAAAAAAAACGGAACATCCAGTGATCCTTAGAGGCTGATGAAAGTGTCCGTGTCACTCCACTTCAATTTGAGCTATAATTAAAGTGTCCTCCTGAATGATGGAGACAGTCCAATTCCTGTTTGTTTGCCCAGGGCAGCCAACTGACACTTAAAGCCATTAGGGCTGTGAAAAGCTAGAAGTCACTGCTGGCATGCAAATTTTGCTCTGAATTTTACTAGTTGCCATGGCAATACTATCAGATCCAGTGGGAAAAAAGTTGATTAGTAAGCTTGTCACAAGACAATTGCAAACACTCCTAAAATTAATTAATATTACACATCTAACCTAACCCTTCTAGCAATAATTAATCCTACTAAGTATTCAGACCAAATATCTCCTCATGATGACTGACCCACATTCATAACGCTGAGGGCTGACAACCTATATAGAGACTGTGTAGGTTTAATCTTAAAAGGATAGTTCACCCAAAAATTATTTTCTCACCCTCAAACCTGTATGGCTTAGTTTCTTCAGTGGAACTCAAAAGGAAGGGGAGGAATATTCAAGTTGCTCTTTTTCCATACAATTAAAGTGAATGGTGACCAGGTTTTGCTGCTTAAAATCTAATATGCATAAGTACACATTTAAATATTGTGTGCAGAGATTTATTGTACCAGATTTGATGTCAGCAATGCTAACCACATAGGTTCTCACTTGTTACGTGACTGAAGTGACACTCACCATATCAGAATATGCGCAAAAGAGATTTGAGGGCAAGATTTTTGCAAACAACAACTTTAATTTCAGCCTGTGGCAAAGCTACACTGTCAGAAAAAAATGTGCAAAATTGATACCTTTTCACTCAGGCAGTACCCTTAGGAACAACTTATCTACCCCCAAAAAGGTGAATATTAGTACTTTAGAGTATTAATAAGTACCCTTAAGGTACTACTAGGAACATTTCAAAGGGTAAATAAATTACTGTGACTAGCTGTTGTACACCTAAAGGTATGATTTTTGCATATTTTTTCTGAGAGTATATCGCGTGGTTTCATAAAAGTTGGAACATAGCACACAAGTCGCATACACCAATTTTAAGTTGCTTTTTTGGAATCCTTTTAGACAACATTTGGTACTCATCCACTTTCATTGTATGGCAAAAAGCAGTGTGAACATTCTTCTAAACATCTCTTTTTACAGCACATAAGTTTAGAGCACAAGGGTGAGTAAATGCTGATAAAAGCATTTTGGGTGAACTATCCCTTTAAACTGCAGGACTAGACCACCGATAAAAGACTGATAAAGAGTCTAACATTGATCTGATTTACACTTATTGAGTTTAAACAGAAATATACTCAGACGTTCAGTGTGGTTTGCAGTTAACGGACTTACCTCTACAAGCAGGTCTATGATCAGTCCATGCCGCGAACACCTCTGCCACTCTCTGACACGTGATGCTCTTGGAGCCCTGGAGAACGTGGTCTTCATCACAGGTGAACTGGGCTGTGGCGCCAATACTGTAGGGATCAGGACCCATATGCGTGCATGCACACACACAGGTTGACAAACAAATCAGATCCAACACAAATCCATTAGCATGACTGAATAATCAGGGTGAATGCCATATTTAATTTGATGCACATGAAAATGAGGCTTTTATAGCTAAAAGCACAGTTCATTGGGTTATAACTTTGTGTACCACGGTAGCAGTCGTTCATGCAACATGGCACAGAAAAATACTGTGCATCTTTCCAAAAAATATCAAATTTCAATTTAAATATGCCGTCTACTCTCAGTTCTATGCAAACACGCAACACACATACACAAAGAAGTTTGAGAGAAAAGTATTGCAGCATGCACAAGAGGGGGATAAATAAATGAAGGGATATCAAAAGAGCGTCTTATCCTCCTAGCTAGTGTACAATCAATACTGTGGTACGTCTTGATACTTTATCAAATCTAGTTTGAAGCTTCTTCCATTCCTTCAACACTTCCTTCAATGTGAGGTTGAGCAGAACTCAACCAACCCACTCAACAAGTGCCGATGCTTTTAGCAAATGCTTTAACATTTTGACAATCATACACTTTAATTTGAGGAAACAGCAAACAGTTATTTTGCAACATGTTGTGCGATCTTGTGTGTAAAACCCTCTGCTAACAAACATCAAACGCTCCCATTGAATTTGCTGAGGTTTTTCTGTAATCCTAAAGCCATGTTACACAAAAACCTGAAATAACATCAGTGTCACAATTTGAATTGACTAGCCCTAATTAGCGGTAAAGCCATGCTCATATTGTCAGCTTCCCTGTGGAGCCGGTATTAGCATGACTTCGGGAAAGTCTTGGAAGAGCCTGGTATGGAGAACATGATTTATATGCTCTGGGAGTGCTAAACAGAGGTCACCACAACAAGATATTCAGATGTTACAATATTAATGACAAGTATCAGTGTAGAAGCACTGTATCCATAATACAGGTTTCTTCTCTTCTTGGAAAAGTTTATATGTAAAGGCTGACAGTACATTATCCCAGTTATTACACAACTACTCTTCCAATAAATAAATATTTGGGCGTTAAATATTGACTTGAGTTGAAATTATTTTATCTTATCTGCATATAATCTTAAAGCTTCTGCTAAAAAATAGTGTACAATACAATCAGTACGGTAAGAAGACTAGCACTGCAATATTACAGTATTTCATCTGCATGTATGATGGCGAATATTAGGAAACATAAAAATGCTGCGACTGACCAATAAGAATGTAATTATTAGCACCTAATGCTGGCTTTCTTGGTGGAGAATGCGGTAATAATGGTCACCAGATACCTTCTTGCGAAGCCAATATCAGGACACACAGTACCTAATGGTGATTACCTAAAGTCGTTGCCAATGCGCTTGCCGTTTTCAGGTTCCCCCGGGTCTGGACAGGAGTTAGAGGCCTGTTTGATTCCTCCTTCGTTTACTGCGAATTCAGAGCACAGTTTGCCATTAGGCACATACATACAGATAAACATCATTTTCCTCAGGCAAGCCTCATGCAAACGGCTTCACAGAACTGCTGACAATGTACATAACACTAGGGTCACAATTTGAAGAGGAGGTGGAACTTACACGTGAACACAGACAAAAACACACAATGCACACATCATCAAATTATCTGATAACTTAACACGTCCCCACAAATGTGTCTTAGTGCAGTTGTCGCTTTGTAAGAGTGTGACTACATCATTGAAAGTGGTGTATCTGCTAAATCCCAGGTCATATTAACAGCTTTTTATGCTAAATTGAGGACACACTTTATTATCAGTAGCATTAATAGTAGATTAGACACTATGTTAGGAACAAAATGCTCACTTAAGAAGTGATTCAAGTGCAACAAGCAGTAACCCTTGTGCAGAATAAATGTGTGTGTGTATATATATATATATATATATATATAATTACATATACTTAACATACTTACAGACAGTATATATATGTATACTACATATATATATATATATATATATATATATGATGTGTGATCTAGTCTACGAAGGTTAAGGCTGAAGGTTAGAGTGGTTGTCATGGGCCATGTGACTAGTCTAAAGATGAGTAATTTTGATAACTGTCTATCTGGGGCCGAGAGGACCGTGTCACCTCTCATTTTCCAACCAAGTGAATGTGACTTCAAATGCAGCCCTTTACATGCACATACGCACATGTAGGTGTATAGTCTGATGAAATTAATGCACAATTAATATTTAATTTAACCATGCAGTTAAAATATGCTGATTAGTACAAAGAGGGGTCTGAACATAATGCAGAAATGCTCACTATCATCAGCATGCACACAAGCACAGCACTGTAAAATCAAAATGACCCCCACAGTATTGAAGACACTTACTTCTTTATGCATCCTGAACTATTAATGAAGCTAAAATGACTCTACAGTGAAAATGCAGAGTTTTACGCTTAAACTTTAAAAATTTTTTTTTTTACCAATTTTATTAGTTGTACATTTCACTACTTTCTTAAGTGGATGTGTTTGCATTTGTTCAACTGTCCCCAAATTCTTAAGATAATCTAATGAGGAACAGTGGCTCTCTCTAATTTCTGTTTACTGATTCAGAATTGTAAACACCTGCCGGACCTTAAATTCCTTTAAGTGAGGCTCAAGATGTTCCTGTCTCTCCAGAAATGGCTTGTGATTGAATGATGGAAGTGTGGTCATGACACAGGGTGAGGAATTCACTAAGACTGAAGGATGCCTACTGATGGCGTAATTTATTTGCACAGGCTGTCCCTGTAGTTTTAGTGCCAATTTATTAAATTATGCAAATGTTGGGAAAAAAATACTTAATTTAAATAATCATGATGCAGTTTTTTTTAGTTTAGTTTTTCTTCTGAAATATTGTGTGCTGAAGTGCTGCAACTGTTTAGTGAATTTATCCCACAGGTCAAAGGTAATGACAAACATTAAATGTCGTACAAATGGACAACACAAGTTAAAGTGGAAAGACGAGACAATATTACATTATTCATGAGTTTGCTAGTTTTAAACATGTGATCATTGAGTGATTCTGAGGAAAAAGAACAAGAAAAAGATGGTGAAAAAGAAGTACAGGATGAAAAACTGATAGACTGTTCTTTGTTCATCTCAGCAAGCAATTTGAAAATTAGCCCTATTTGAAGCAGCAATTCACACTGAAGCAGTTAGAACTTCAACTTAAACATTATGAAACTTCTATGTACTTTTCTGCGAAGATTGTCAGTCTCCTCAACCTGTTTTTGCTCCAAGTATCCATTTTCATGCTTTGTATAGATTAAATCTGGCTTCATTAACTATTAAAGGTTCTGGAAAGGTGCAATGGGAAAATGGAGCATATGCAAATGTCATACCAATACAAAGGTTGATTTTGTCAAAGCATGGGTGAAACTGTGACTAACATCAAAAGTAACAGATTGTCAAAATGTGATTTTCCTGTATTTTGCAGAGCTTTGAACATTGAGATACTCAGCCCACACTGTGACTAAGTTAATTACCATTTTTATTCATGCGATTAATCCATGCTTACTATTTCAAATCAACTCCCACTTTACCTGGCAATTGACATGTAAGTTCATGGACTTTTATCAAGATTTTAGATAGTTGACATGAAATACTTTTGGGAAGTCTCATAGTGTGACATTGTATATCATCTGATACTACATTTTATCTAAAAAAAATAAATCATTTTACATTCATTTATTAACCTTAACACTTTGATTTCTCTATAAAGTCCAAAAATTTGTTCTAAAATATTACATACACAGTGTCTTATGTGGCAAAATGTATCCATTGCTGCTTTCAAATTATTTAAATTTTCAAATTATTTCTAAATAACTAATAAAAAATGGTGCCTGTAAATGTCTAATTGCCTGCTCCAAAAATTGGTTATTTAAAGCTGCAGTCCGTAAGTTTTGCTTCTTTGTCGCCATCTCTGTTTGAAAACCTGCAATTGCAGCTGTGTGCGGAATTATCTTCCTTGCGTGGGTTGTGAGCCGGTATTGCGCCGAATTCTGCATTCTGATTGCCTAATCCCAACCCCACCCCCAATCCTAACCCCTCCCCCACACCTACTCCTAAACCTACCAATACTTGGGGGTGCATAATCTGGCAGGGTGCAAATTTCGTCACTACACCGGCGATCCACAGCGCGAAGTTGATGTATTTCCTCAGCGACCAGCACGGATCAGCTCTAGGCATGACGAAGTCTCGTTCGTTACAAAGAATCGGCTCTTAGAGCCGTGTTGTGCCGAATTCTGCACCCCTGCCAGATTATGCTCCCCCTCGTTGAAGTCCCTACCTGATTGCCTAATCCCAACCCCACCCCTAATCCTAACCCCTCCCCCACACCTACTCCTAAACCTACCAATACTTGGGGGTGCATAATCTGGCAGGGTGCAGAATTCGGTACCACACCGGCACGGCTCCAGCGCGAATGAATCTAATGTTTTGAGGGGTTTTTAACTGTTTTAAATTAATTTTAAATCAATTTCTAAATAATTTAAAACGTTTTTAAGTTCCCTGTTTTATTGTTGTGATTTTTTTATGATTATTTTACTTCCTTTATGTAAAGCACTTTGAATTTCCATGGTGTATGAAATGTGCTATATAAATAAACTTGCCTTGCCTTGCCTTGCCTTCAGTAACATCACTGAGTGTGGGAGTAGTGTGAATGTGTTATAAAAAGGCATTGTTACGTATATCTGCACACATGTGCAAGGTCTACAGACATGCATGGGATTTAAGTTACATTTTCTTGCTTGTGAAGCTAACAAACACTTTGATACTTTGAGCCCTGCAAGTGCACTGGATTTTACTCTGCTTATATATGAAAACTGACACAAAATTAAATTTTCCTCTTATTCTGAAAGCGCAATTACATAAAAGCCTTCAGCTTTTTGTTGAATCCCAGTCAGCTGAGGTGACAATTCATTTTATTGAACATAATAAAGTTCAGTTCATGCCACTAATGCAAATAAAGAAAATTACAAAAGTGCTGAAAACATTATCATATGGGCATTACATGTGTGTGGGCGTACAAAAATTACAATATTTGTAATTCAACACAAATCCTAACTCGAACACTAATGCCTCTGATATTTTAAGAAACAAATAAAGACATTATTTATCTTAAGTCATTTGTTTGAAAAAATGCATGTCCAACAACATATTTATAGATTTAGTTACTTTTTAGGGATACTTATCAGTAATTCTGTCTACAAAAGGGTAAATTATGTGCTTCAAATTTAGACCACATTTTACTGTGTAATGAGGCATTCAGTGACACAGAACAGATTGTCTTTTAAAGGGCTGACCAATATCTTGACCATTTGCCTTTTGGAGAAAGATTGATCAAATTTGGCCCTGCTTTTGGATGTGAGCCAGTCCTGATAAAAAAAAGCCACTAAAATCTGATTAAAATGCCCAAAATGACAGGCTCTCAAGTCTTTGTAGAAAAATAACTCGCTCTCCTATCTCGCCTCACTCGTAAAAATGCCTCATGATTTTCTCAATTTTCTTTTATTTTCAATGTCAATTAGTCATGACTTCTGCAGAATCATTTATTCTCCTGATTGACTTTGTGACCAGTTATAGTCTGATGTAATTCCTCTACTTTCAGTGATGCAATTTGCTGAAACCTCATCATTGTACGGTATCTATAACTGAACATAATGATCTCTCTGGGAACTGAAAAATGCCAAAAGTTAGTAAAAGTACATTTAAAACAGTCACTTTAGAACTTTATCTTGTTATATTGTATTGTTTAGTTGACCTTTGTGATTAAGCCTCTAAGTCAGAAGAAAAAATATAGCCTATAATATAATATATATATATATATATATATATATATATATACACATACTGTATATACATATATATTAGGGCTGTCAATCGATTAAAATATTTAATCGCGATTAATCGCATAATTGCCATGAGCCAACTCGTGATTAATCGCAACTTAATCGCACATTTTTGTCTGTTCTAAATGTACCTTAAATTAAGACTTTTCAAGTTTTTAATACTCTAATCAACATGGGCATGGACAAATATGGATGCTTTATGCAAATGTATGTTTATTATTAGTGAAACCATAGTCAGCATAGAGCATGAAGACTAGACATGCTTCAAAGGTCATAGATGTTTTTCAAAGAACTTGTTCGTGTCTATTAGACATGAAAAAAGAACATACAAATACCAGGTTCCCATTACTTCTCTTTCTTTGCACTGAGCAATTTAATATTTACACAAGCCTGTTTACACTATTCGCACGACAGGGCAGCTCACTTCTTCTGAACATGCAAAATGTGCATTTATTATTTATTATTACATTTGATTGCCTCTCTGTGCCCACATATTTTGATGCAGCTAAATTCTCAATAAAACTGTTTTCATTTATATATGTTACTGTTTCTGTTGTCAGACAACGGAATGAA